TACCCTTATATTTCTACCTGATTCCGTATTGGTAATTTCCTACTATAATCAAGGAGTGGCACTACCTGACAAGATTTAAGAAGTTTGGGCTTGTTTGAGTATGTGTGGATTTGTTGGAGGAAGGCTTTCACCCGGGATGGGGAATGAAGTTTGAAAAGCCCAAGCCAAGCCCAATGTCAGTCTCTTCCTGCTGCCAATGGATCTGGATGTAGAACTCTCAGTTATTTCTCTATCACCATGTCTGCCTGTGTGCAGCTATACTACCAAAAATGATGATAAATTAAATCTCTGAAACCATAAGAATTCCCCTATTAAATTCATCCTTTTATAAGAGTTTCTGTGCTCATGGTGTCTCTTTACAGCAAGAGAACACTGAATAAAACTACTTATTTGATAAAACTTTAAAATATTTTTGAAAGAAACTAAAGAAGATGCCAGAAGATGGAAAGATTTCCTATGCTCATGGATATATATTAGGATTAATACAGTGAAAATGGCTATCCTACCAAAAGCAATCTACAGATTCTATGCAATTCTTATAAAAATTCCAACACAATTTTCACATATTTGAAAGAACAATTTTCAGCTTAATATTGGAAACACACACACACACACACACACACACACACACACACACACACTGAGGACAAACACCACCACACACACACACACACACACACACACACACACACACGCACACACACACGGATAGCTAATACAACCTGGAATTAAAAAACACCTGCTAAACATATCACTATTGATGACCTCACAATATACTCTACAGCTATAGTTTACAACCTGGAATTAAAAAAACACCTACTAAACATATCACTATTGATGACCTCACAATATACTCTACAGCTATAGTTAAAAAACTAAGAGCATGGTAAAGGCATAAAACATACATGTTAGTCAATGGAATCAAATTGCAAACCAGACATAAATCCCCATACCTATTGAGACCAGATTTTTGATAAATAAACCAAAAATATGCAATTGAAAAAAGATAGGAAGGTCAACAAATGGGACTAGTCAAATTGGATGCTGTACATAGAAAAGAAGAATGTAAATAGATCCATATATCCCTGAACAAGACTCAACTTCAAATGAATCAAAGCCTTAATATAAAACTGGATATACAACCTGATAGAAGGTAAAATGTTGAATATATCCTTGAACTTACTGTCACAAAATAACTCCTTAAAAGAACACCGTTAGCACACAATTTAAGATCAACAAATAATAAACTGGATTTCACGACACTGAGAACTTTCTGGATAGCAAAAGACACCATAATAAAGACAAAATATCATCCTACAGAATGAGAAAATATTTTTAACTTCATACCCAATAGGGGGCTAATATTAAAATGTACAAAGAACTGAAGAAATGAGATATCAAGAAAACAAATGACCCAGTTAAAAAAAAAGTTACAGTTCCAAACAGAAAATTTTCAAAATGAAACTCATGTAGCTGAGAAATATGTCAAGAAATGTCCAGCATACTTAGTCCTCAGGGAAATGCAAACCAAATCTCTTGTTGGTAGGAGTGCAAATGTACAGTCACTATAGATATCAATGTGGCAGTTCAGAGGAAGATGGAAATAAATCTACCTCAAGATCCAGCTATACTCCTCTTAGACATATACCCAAATGTTACTTAATCCTATCACAGAGATACTTGCTCAAACATGTTAATTGCTCTATTTATAATAGTCATGAATTTAAAGATGTTCCTCAACTGAAGAATGGGTAAAGAAATTATGGTACATTTACACAAAGGGATATTAGTCAATAATTAAATCATGAAATGTCACAGGTAAATGGATGGAACCAGGAAAAATAACCATCCTGAGTGAGGTAACAGGGACCCAGGAAGATGAATAGGGTATTAGTTACTATATGTGACTATGAGGCTTTAAGTCAATTATAACCAAGCTACAATTATTAGAACCACAGTTTTGTTTAGAATAAGGGAGTAGGGTAAACAGATAGATCTCATTAGAAAAGAGAAATACAATCAATAGTTGTGGGTGGATGGGGAAGACTGGAATGGGAGGATTAAGTTGGTTGGGGGAGAAAACAGGCAGGGAAGAAGATGGGATTACGGGGAGACAAAATAAAATAAGACCCTTTGGAAGGGCATAGTGGAAACCCAATGCAGTAAAAACATTTATATATATGTTTTTATCTAATCTAAACTAAATCACAATCTAAACTAAAATCACAAAATAATGGGAGAGAGTCCAAACAGGCCATCTGTTGTTATCAAATGAAGCTCCCAGTACTAGTTTTGTGTAATGTTAAATTGAATTGTTGGCCAAAGGCCTTCATGTGGACCACCAAAACAACCCAGATCATCATCAAGACTACAGGTTGCTCTCCAAAACTGACTGTAAAGTTCATTGCTGAGGACAAACCTACACATGTTATTGAAGGTGAAGAAGTCAAGCTGGTGTCTATAGAGTTCCTTAACTCTTACATTCTCGTGTATTTGGTACAGAAAAGTTCTTTGCATATTACCATTATAGTAGTATAAACCCCAGTCTAGCCCCAAATTCTTTGATCTATAATTGTGTCCTGGCTTGCAAGAACAGAACACTAGGGCAATGGTGACTCAAAGTTTGTCTGGTTTGACTTATGATCCACACCTCTAGACAGAACCCATATTAACTGTTTGGGTAAACAAGAACCTGGACTAGATAGCCCTAGGACCTAGGGTAACATCAAATACTACCACTCTATATAAATTAAATTTAAAAACTTAAAAATAAAATAACTCCTAATGACAATCTGCTACACTCATAGACCAGTGTCTTATTCAGCAAACATAATGCAGAGAGTGAAAGACTAGAGACCTTAGAGCAGTCAGCCTTAAACTGGATGGCTCCACCAGATCCTTCCACTATGGGCTCAAGGAGCTTTGTGCAAAGGAAACTGAAAGAGTGTATGAATTAGAGGTGATGGAGGACAACAAGAAGACAAGGCCATCTAAATCAACATGATGTCCACATATATGAACTTGTAGAGACTGATGCAACATCAAAAGGCTACATGTGTCTCATTAGATGAAATCCTAGAACTGAAATAAGAAGAAGACACATGCCCATATCTTTAAACTGGAAATGATCTCTACTTGATAACTACTTCCAAGTGTAAATTTATTTTCCTCCAAGGGAGTTTCAATGGTTAAACAAACTACACTAGACTGCATGCCCAGAAGTGGGTGTTAAAGAGAAAACCAACTCAAGGATTTAATTAAAGGAGCCTTCCCTCATAATTTCTTTTCAGGGCTATTTTTTATCTTATATTTTATTTTAAGATATATTGCAGAGATTTATTTCTCCATCTTTTTACCATACAAGTCCTCTGCATATATATTAATATTTTTATGGGCTTCTTTAGTTTTTAAATGAGTGGAACTCTGCAGTTTTTGGACCTTGTCTTCATCTCTTTCTGTCTATTTCTTGCTTTTGGGATGTTTTGATGCACTAGTTTTTGCTTTTTCTTATACTTTATTTCATTTTATTTTATTATTTATAATTAGAAGTCTGTTGTTTCCTAATGAGATGAAAGGGGATAGATCTGGATGGGAGGACAGGTTGAGGAATTAGGAAGAGTAGAGGAAGGGGTAACTAAAATCAGAATATATTATGTAAAAAATTTCTTCAATAAAATGGGAAAAAGCCACTTGGTAGTGTGTATGTGTGTGTGTGCTTGTGTGTTTTCCTCTATAACATCCTGACCAATACAATATTTTTATATTAAACTCTGAAAAAAATCCTTAATGTTACTTTCCTCACAGCCTCCTTTATCTGTTTGTTTCTAAGACTATATATGATAGGATTTAAGAATGGTGGAACGATGGTATATAATACAGAAAGTGTCATTTCCTGAGCTACTTCTGATGTTACTGGAGTTCTTAGATACACGTAGGCACCAGAAGAAAGAAACAAAGACACCACAATAATGTGAGGGACACAGGTGGAAAAAGCCTTCCCTCGCTCTCCTTTGACAGGAACCCTCATCACAGTTGATAATATTCGAACATATGATATAGCAATGAAGATAAAGCAGCTACCACTGACCCCAATGGCAGTCAGAAGAATTAATAGTTTGTTGATAAAAGTGTCTGAGCAAGAAAGTCTCAGCAAAGAAGGGATATCACAGAAGAACTGGGGTACCATGTTAGAATGACAGAAGGAAAGCTGGAATGTTTTGATAGTGTGCATACCTGCAATGACAAGGCAGCTAAATAGGGAAGCCAATGTCATCTGAATACAGACTTGGTGACTCATGATCATAGGGTAGAGGAGAGGCTTACAGATGGCCACATAGCGGTCCTGAGCCATGACAGCAAGAAAGAGAATCTCTACACAAGCACAAAAGAAGACCAAAAAGATCTGAGCTGCACACCCAGTCATAGAAATATTCCTGTGGTCAGTGAGAGAGTTGACACAGGCATTGGGGACAGTGACAGAAACATAGCACATGTCTAAGATGGATAGATTCCTGAGGAAGAAGTACATGGGTGTGTTCAGGGTCGGGTCAACTGTGGTAGCAATGATGATGGTAAAGTTCCCTAAAAGGCTGCCCAAGTACACCAGTAGGAACAGTACACTGAGGAGGAGCCTGAGTTCCCATGTCTCAGCAAAAACCTCCAGGAGGAACTCAGTCACCAGGGTGGAATTGGCCATACTCCCAAAGTACAGGTTTATCTGAAAGAGAAAAGCAGTGACAAAGAATAACCTAAAATAATTGAAAGCGTACTAGCACTTCTCATAATACTCTTTGCTTCTATTTTCCAACTTAATGTGTGAAAAACCAAGTATTTGTTTCTCTGGTTTGTACACATTTTTATCGTGATAGTTGTTAATACAGAAAGATGTGGCAGCCTGTCCAATTGTACTGTATGATGCTAAGCACTTTGAATTATATTCCATAATAATTAATATATGGTAAGTTCCTCTTCCAGGTAAACTACCTTATCAATTAGCAATAGCAAGTGGGGTGTATGTGAAAATTGTGTTTTTATATTTATTATCATATATATGTTTACATATGAAGCATATTTATGTTCCATGATTCTTTTCATATTTACACACAAATGTATAGGAGGAAGAATGGGGGAATTGAGAGTGAAATTTGAGAGACATGGACATAAGAGGACGAGTTGGGAGAGAGAGAATAATGAGCATGGAAGAAGGGGGAGTTTAAGAAACTATCTCACTAAATTTTTAGAATGTCTGAGAACTTCAGAGTAATAACATTTTCCTGGAAACCCAGGCACAGTTTAACTTACATAATTAAGGAAGAATTTTCTCTTCTTGGTGAAACCTCAGGTTTTCCTGAAAATCACTATTGCTAAAGATGATAATCCCAATTTCTTAAAGTATTTAGATTGCAAACAGTATTTATATACATATCCACAGCAACATCTGAAATATTCTTTGGCTAGCTGGGTCCTGGAGCAAACAACTTCCACATAAAACTAAACATGATACAATGCATGGTAGCTTTTATGTTCATATGAGTTGGGCTCCAAGCTTTACTGGCAACATTTTATAGTATTGAATGCCATACCATGTTCTCCTAATATTGATCAACATACTGTCGTGTTCCCTGAATAATGCACAGTATAAAAAGTTATGTTCTGAAATTTATACTTGAGTATATGGATGTTAAAGTGCAGAGATTTATACACAAGTAATTAAAGGTAAGCTGCTCTCAGCTTAATAAAATAATGTAATAAGTTTTATCAGATCCATAATGGCAACCACCAGATACTACCTAAATATAAAAGATTAATTAATTAAAAACAGAACAGCCTAAGAAGTGTTGATAAAAAGAGATAGGAAACTGTCATAAAAGAGGTAACCAAAGAATGGCAAGTGGTAAAATAATCACAAGTGGTAACTTCTTGTTTAAAGAATTTGATACATTAGAAACCTCAAAATTCTAACAGCATAAAATGTAAAAAAAATTAAGGGAACATTATTTAGTGACATTAGCTAATGAACATTTGTGGTGCTATTTTGTTTCTGATCTAGCAAATAAAGCTTGCCTGAAGATCATAGTGCAAAACTAGCCATATTAGTCAGCCACAGAGGCCAAGCAGTGGTGGCACACACTTTTAATCCTAGCAGCCACACTAGTTAGCCATAGGAACAGTGTGATGGTGATATACAACTTTAATCCCAACACTAAGGAGGAATAAAGGGGAATGGAAAAAGGAGGGCAGTGTGTTCAATCTGGTCCTGCTGAGGACAGGATTGCCCCATTTTGTTCTGAGCCTTGGTAGAATTTAGAGCTCTCTAGTGGTTGACTGCTTTTCATTTCTGATCTTCAGTTTGAAACCCAATACCTGTCTACAGGTTTTCATTATTGGTGTTATATCTGGAACCCAATTTTCGTTGTACAAATTCACAACAGATCACTTGTTTGTGACTTTGCAGCCACTGGCACAGGCTCGGGCTGCATACAGGATTTCCACTGGAGTTACTGCCCAGCATGCTAGATTTTCTTTTCTTTTTTTCCCAAGCCTCTGTGCAAGTTTGGAATTTTCCTGTTGTAGCCTCTCTAAAACAGTATCCAACTGCCACGAAAACTCCAGAACTACCTATGCTCCAAATGGCATAAGACTTAAGCACCCTAGACTGGCTGGTTTTACCTTCAGGCCACTCCTACCACATGTGTTTTTTCCACACAATCCCATGTTTGGTTTTTCAGACATCCTGCTATTCCTACCACCCCCACCCCCATCTTGGGTTGTGGGCTTCCCCTATAGACTCTCTCCTTGGATTGCAACTCTTAGCTCATGGCCACATGGCAGTTCTCTGATCAGACATGCTGTGCTACACCTCACAGTTCACTGACAATGCCTGCAGATTCAGTGAAACAATTGGGGACTCTTAAAGGAAGGCTTCACTCTGCCTGGGGAGCAGAAATGGTATTGGACAGATACGGTGTTAGTGGGGGACAGGAGAGGAGGGAGGGAGAGGGAATGGGGATTAACATGTAAAACAATCTTGTTTCTAATTTAAATAAAAAAATTAAAAGGGGAATGCTTCACACATTAAAAAACTGGGAAACACTAGTACAATGGAGGGAGAATTAAATGAAGGGATAGTCAATATAACCAGTATTAACATACTGTTAATTATAATTTTGGTAATCTTTGTTGTCAGTTTGATAATTCTTGGTTTATCTCTAAAAATTTGGTTGATACAAATGCCAAGGTACAGGCCTTAGAAAAACTTGCTAAAGCAGGCCATTTAGATATTCAAACTCAGACAGAGGAATTTAAAGGAGAACCAATTCCAGCATTAAATTATAAGTTTAGAGAACGGCTTAGGGTTTTCAAACAAACAACCTTAATATATCCAGTAACTTTTCAGGAATTGCCAAATGACAGAGGCTCTGTAAAAACTAAATGGACCCCTGTGCCAATGTTAGATTTAAGGAGATTCAAGTCTCACATGGTATGCATTCACCATCTGTGAAGCATATGTTAAACTCATAGTCAGGTTGTTATAGAAGTATCCCTAAAGACTGAATAGACTTTCTTAAAGGTGTTTTAAAGCTTGGTTCACAATTACAATGAAGTAACTTTTTCAAAGAAGAGGCTAAGATGACTGAACAATGGAGTAAACCTGGAGGGATAAAAATCTCCCAAGATCAACTTGTTGGAGGAGATTATACTAACACAGAAAGCTAACTAATTTACTAACATAAATATCTATATCATGACCATGCACTGGCTTTATGCCACAAATCAGCTTTGGAGAAATACGAAATAAGATTGAATTATTTACTAACGTTATACAGGGTCCAAAAGAATTCTTCACAGATTACTTACAAAGATTGACATCAGCAGTAAATAGAATGATACCAAGTTCAGAGGCTAGACAGATAACAATTCAATCTCTGTCTTTTGAAAATGGCAAATTTCAGTGAAAAAGGATAATTATAACTTTAAAGGCAAGGTCAGCTCCTTTGGAGGAATAAGTCTGAGATACAATCAATATTGGATCTCATGACCATGATGATGTACGAATAGGAGAGGTGATTTCCAAAGATTTGACGAAAAATTGAAATGCCAAATGTTTCATTTGTGACAAGCAAGGTCACCTTAAAAGGGACTGTAAACAGGGCATTCCTAGAAACAATGTATTTTTCTAACCATAATCCAAACAGAACTCCCCCTTCCTTCTGGATTATGCAGAAGGTGTGGTAAAGGCATGCATTGGACTAATTAATGTAGATCAATAAGGAATATTCAAGGTAACCATTTGCAATTGGGGAACTCCTTGAGGGGACTCTTGCAAGCCCCTATGACAATTTCAATTCATTGTTTACTGTCATTGTGGAAACTCCTTCCCAGAGCAAAATAAGAACCTAATACCTGTTGAAAAATTACTGCTCTAGATGACAGAAGAGCTTTAGAAGATAAGACAAAAATTTGGGTAGAAACCATGAATCTAGATAGATAAAGATTAGGTTTGGAACCACCCTAAAGTTAGGGTTGGGGTAAAAATACAAAGTGGAAGCGAGAACTTCCCAGAAAATATTGCCAAGAAAAGGAATAATCTGACCTAAAGTGATCTGTGCAGTCTCCAAAAAAGATAGAACCCCACAATGACAATTACACCAGGACTACAATAACACTACTAACCTGAAAAGCATCAACTAAACATCAGCTTTGGATTACAAACTGCTCAGAATAATTTTGAAGTGACTAATTGAGATGACCCAGCCTCACAGACTACTCTATCCAGGACTTGAGACAAGCCCTATACTTTAAAATTATGTATAAACTGGAAAATATGATACAGATACCAATTCCAAGACTTGACAATTAACCAAAATTTTTCTAATCTGGATCCTTTAAAGATGCCATCACTCCTGGACATCAGGAAGAAAGTTTGAGAATATGACACTCACTTTCCCAAGAGGTGGCATGGGTGTTTTTTTGTTTTTTATTCAGTATGGATATTGTAAGTGTTTAGGTGATTGGTTAGAAGTTTTTATTGCTAATGGTCAGAAAAAAAGCTAAACAAAGATTAGATTCAGGGTTCTCATTTTGAAAAGAAAAAGGGATAGAATAAAAAGGATTGATTATTGAATATACTTTGAAAAAATAAAGATGTAGAGAAGACTAAAAAGGTAGATTAATAAATTGACTTCTAAAAAGCAACTACTAGTTTTAAATATTTTAAATTAGATTGGGCTTTTATATATTGTATTCAAATTTTGTATAATATATTGATACAAATTTGAGATTAATTATGTTAAAACACACTGGACATATGTTTCTAATCTTGTTTAAGATATTGTACCTATACATCTCTTTTAACAATGTAATGCAAATTTCTAGTTCTTGGAAGTTATTATTACCAACTATATAGGATAATAAGGAAATGTAGGTTAGTAATTAGGTGCCTATTACAATTGAATTTATAGTTATGTTAAGTATGTTTACAAGGTCAAACAGATATATTTTATACAGATCATCTTCAAACACTTCAGAGATCTGCAGAATATGTTATTTAAGATGTTTTAATAACTTAGTTTTTTTTTTTTTTATAACGAGACAGGCCTGCTCCTGGCAGCACCAATATACATCAGAGAAGGTGCTGGGCATCAAAGAAACTCCACACTGAGTTTACTTTCTTTGTGGAAAATGTATGCCAGTTGG